GGGGCGAATCTAAGTGGATGCGGTGCCATTGGTATCAAATGTCGTGGTTGATTTCCAGTGGGCCCTTGATGCATGGGGGCTTGGAAATATACGGGTTTATTAGGCAATGTAGGGATTACCGAGTTGACTTTGGGGGTCTGAGGTGGTTTATGCGACGTATCGCCGCGCTTATGGAGGTACATAACATTTAATTCCTCCTGTACAAATTTTAAAGCTTCCTCTATACTGTTGGGCCTCATGCACCTGATGCCAAGGGGCTCACGAAGCCCTCGCACAAAGGCTTGCATGGTGAGTTTTTTGAACAAAATACGCTTAGCCTCCATAGTAGTACCCAAAGTTTTATGCAGAGACTCGTAAGTCATAATAGTGCTGAATAAAGTTTGGCAATTATCGTAAAATGCCTGTGGACTTTGATGCCTTTGTGTCGCCAAAGAGAGGTCATTGTAGAGGGCAGTCTCATCCCTCTGATTTGCAAAATTGTTAAACAAAGCTCCACGAATCCCTAACCAATTATCTGGTATGCCGTTCGAGTTATTGATAGTCGCGGCTGGTCCAGTGATTTTGTTGAGAATTCCGTTCAGTAAGCATTGATTGGGTAATTCATTACCTGGTTGAGGGTTAAGAAAGGCACGTACTATTTAGTCGCAAATTTTAATGAAACCGGTAAGTACATTAGGATTACCGTCGAACTCCGGTACAGGGCGCAATGCCTTATAGATAGTATCCGGGTCGATGGACATTTTCTTTATAGAAAATAATAAATTAGGGTCACAATCTAAATTTCTATTAGTATCTAACTGTTTTCGCCGGCGAGTCTGCCGCAGGAAAATTTTTGGGAGGAATCTAGGAACTAATAGCAAGCCGCACAAAGAAAATTATGTGTACTCACAGTTTCATTTCTGGTCTCTCTGTGTATCGATGTATGGATACTCGTCGCTCAGACTGAAGCTCACCGTAGATTCAGGACACTAGAGCTGGGCTTGATATCTCCCGAGCAACGGAGCGCGTACGCGGGTTTTTCCGGAAATTTTGCCACGTCTCGCGAACCGGCCCGCGAGTATCCTACCGACTGCGCCAGTTACGAAACCTACAGCCGAAGGACTTAAAAAAAACCAGAATACTTTCTACTAAATGTAATAAGTCAAAGGTGTGACAAAAATAAAGGAATATAAAATATCTCTAAAACTAAAACGAGATGCGACAATGTTCGATGTTGGAAACAAAGTGTTTTCATTCCCACGGAGTCGCGTTGTGCTGGTCTCACCATGGCACGTTACGCTGACCATGCGCCTCGTGCCTTTGATGTGTTGCAACCGCTTTGAATCACTGTGCTTAAGCCAAATTACGGGTGGCGAGTTACGTAATTAGTTACAAATCTAAGGCTGTTTACAAATGGCGCCGCGGTGGCGTTGTTTTGTATTGCGTCGCGGCGCCGCTGTTGTAGTTGCGGCGTCATACCGCAACGCAGCACCAGCGCACTATGGGGAAAAAATGAGTAAAACCTAGCCAATGACACATTTTCAAAATTTTTTGATATCAAATTTAGACCAGATGCTGGTCTAAATTTGAAATCAAAAAGAATTAGTTAGCTGAGTTGATAAATAATGATGTTCTGCATTCAAACTGCATTTAAAAAAACCGCGTTTGCGTATTGTGCCATTTTAAAGTCAACAGATTTTATTAGAGCGTGTAGTACAATTATCTTAGTTCAATTTCAGAGGGAAAAAAATTTATAATTGTTCTGTGTTTTTAAGTATTGTAAAATAAATATATTATTATTATTATTAACTAGTTTGAATTTTGCTTATTCTTACATAGTAATAATGAAATAAATCACTAAATATAAAATAAATCACCGAAAATCGCAGTTAGTTTACAAGCGTAATTTTGGCCATGTTTTTTCTTACTTTTCTCATAGTGAATGGCGCGACCGCAGCCCATGCGGCGTGATCAATTTTGTTTATTGTTATACGTTTTATTATTTTAGTTATTCGATTTTAGATTAACCAAATCGTTTATATACTGCGTGTTACTTATTGTTTTTGTAGTCAATAATTTATTTTCTTTTATTTTAATTAAAAAGACATTACAAACATAACGACAAATTTTTATAATTTGGGAAAATAGGTAAAAAAGATAAACGGGTCAAGCGCCGCTTTGATTATTTATTTAACACTAAGAAAATTGCTTTAAGTATCCAAAAATAAAATCGTTGAACAGGGAGAAATAACTTAAGCGACATAGTTTTCCGAAACTGTTTAAAGTAAAAGGATTTAAGCGACGTCAAACCCAATATCGGTTCAAAGTAAAAGGATGCAAGCGACGTCAAATCGAATATCGGTTCAAGGTAAAAGGATTCAAATAACGTACCTTATAAAATATGTGTGAAGCAAAATGCTTTACGGTACAATCACTATCAATTTTGGTTTATGTACACGTAAAAAAGGATCAAAAGACGTTTTCATTGGACATTATTGTTTTATCTAAATACTGACAAATGAGGAAAAACTTCAAATAGAAGCAGTAGGCTTCACAAGATATAGTGACAAGCCTACTACAAGATATAAGTTTTTTGTAACGTTTTTTGTAGGAAGATTGGCACACATGGATCATCACTAGTGTGTTGATACCAGTTACATAACATGTAACCCGTAATTTGGCTTGAGCACAGTGATTCAAAGCGATTGCAATATTATTACGAACCATGGATCAAAGGCACGGTGCATGGTCAGTGTAACGTAGGAGGGTGAGACCAGCACAGCGCGGCTCCGTGGGAACGAGACACTTTTAATCTTTTAAACATCTTGTTTAAGTTTTTACAGTTACATTTTATATTCCTTTATTTTTGTTACACCTTTCACTTATTAAATTTAGTAAAATGGGATGACCTTTTTAAGTCCTTTTTAAGACAGTTGTGCAGTTTAAAGTGTCGTGGCTTGTATATTTCAATGAAGTTTTCCACATATGGTGAAACACGATTAACTGTCATTCACGACTTTTTTGACGTTACGACGACAGACTGTCGTGACAATGGACAAAAGAGCTAGAACGGCAATCGTCGGACGATAAATAAAATGTCACGATAAAAACGATTCTGTCGTGCAAACGACAAGGCGGCTCCCGCGAACCGATAAATTGTCGTCACGATCTAATGGAACAGCTACAGACGACAGTCGTTCAACGATATAATAAACGTCCACGACACAGTCACGACAGATACTCGTGATTTGGGAACAGGCTAGACGCGACAGGCGTCCAACGAGAAATAAAACGTTACGACATAATGGGAACGCGCCCTTAAAGTGAAACAAACCAAAAAAAAAATAATGTAATACATGAATAAATATTTTTCTTAAACATACAAATATTTTTCTTAAGCATAGAGAGTAATATTAATTGCAACGTACTCAAATATCTATGTCAATTAATTATCTGTATCACCTTAAACTAATCAAAGCTTTGACAGGCCCCAGAGAACAAGATTGTGTTTTTGCGAATAATGTGGAGCGCAAACGGGTGGTTGGCATTGAATTCGATTTGTCTTGGTCCCAATGATGTTGTGCCAACAGTTATAGCTGAAATAAATAATGGTATAATTGATATTTTATCCTGACTAGAGCCAAATTTTTATAGAAATTTCATTATTTTCATTACAATTGGTATAGTCATCGAAGGGAAGTGAACTTGGTGCCTACACAAGAGATCTAATTAAAATTATAAGGACGCGAAGACCAACGATCAAGTAGTTGCCTTTGTGGCCGAACGGTTACCATACTGATCTGCCACACAGAGGTCCCAGTTTCGATTTTCGGGCCGTGAGAAATATTTGTATAGCCTACATTTATTTATCTCGTGAGTTTGAGTGTAATTTGTGGTTGTCTATTTGTGTGTCCATGGTACCCGCGACACAGGGTTTCCTTAGTGCGGGGATGTGAGTGTGTAAGTTATTATTAGTATTATTATTAAAAAGGAGGTATATGTTATGTTATGTATTTTTACTTAATTTACGATTATAAATATAGGCGCTAAATATTAAGAGTTCATAGTAGGCAGAGTAAGGAATGAAAGAGAGCTAAGAGAGTTGAAATATCTTTCATCCTTTCTCTTACGTTCACTATAGTTCGAGAGAAAAGAAAGATTTTAGTGCACCTTTAAGTGCATTATCACCGTTTGCTTCAAGAAAATACTCCTTTAAAATCGTCATATAGTGGTGTAATTTGCGCGCGATTTAAATAGAAAAAAATAATGAAGAAAATTTATTACATCACGCCTTAACGCAATATGACAACAAGGAAGTACTGCTTATGTAAGAATGGCGGCGTTTTAATATAATATTAAGATTAGGTAACAGTAATAGCTATTAGAAGCCTTACCTGACGAGTAACGTAGCAAGCTGAGTGGATTCCTAGACACCATATTTAGTTTGTGACGTGGTCGGGAGAGCACAACATTGCTATTCAGTGTGGTTCTTTAGCTGAGTGACGTACGAAGGTAAGTATGTGAAATACATTTGATAATTGCTTAGTTGGCATAGCGTTTGGTGTGGCTTGCTAGAAGATGTCGGTTCGAATCCGGCCGGACCGAAGAAATTTTTTCTAAGTGTTCGATAATTAAAACAAATTAGTGGAGTAATTTCATAAAAAAACAATTGAATATCAATTCAATACAAATTTAATTACAGATAATACCGACATCTCTGGCCAGGGCTGGTAGCTATAAAATTACTTAGCTGGGTGACAAAATACTTTCATAAATTTCTCATAGATGGCGCTACGGCTAAAAAGTCGTACAAAAACCTAATACAAAGATCCGACAACAAGCACAGAAAAAATAGTTCGTTCCATGGCTTAGTTGGCATAGCGTCTGCCACGGTAGAAGCATCGGTTCGAATTCGGCGGGATCGAAGGAATTTTTGTATTCGTATATGTTCGATTTTTGTATTAATAATTATAACAAACTAGTGGAGTAATTTCACAAAAAATAATTGAATATCAATTCAACACAAATTTAATTACATATGATATTTGTTAACAAATATAATGATAATACAATGGAAATATTCTAAAAAACAAATAATTCATTGAATAAATAACAAATACTTGCATAGGGTTCTTTACAGTGATAATAATAAGCGTTAAGGGCAGGGTGGAAACGTAGTCAACGACTCAGCCTACGCGCTGAGGCTTCCTCTACTGACGTCGGAAATAAATAGTATCTATTTCTAGTTTTAAAACAAAAGCATATTAATAATTACTTAGTAATATTATAACAACAGGTATAAAGAAAACCAAGCAAATCATTCTAAATTCATGTAGACACAGGAGTTACTTATCAATCACCTTAGTTCAGGAAGGCACCAGAGAACAATGTTGTATCTTTCTTTAGTATAAATAAGAGGAAAGGGTGATTTGCTCTAAAAATGATTTCTCGTTGATTAATTGAAGCACTCTGCCTTGTCAAAATTATAGCTGAAATTGGAACAAAAATAAAATAAACAAGTGCGTCAGACGTAATTAGGGGGAAAAAATTCAGAAAATAGAAATTCAGAAGAGTTCTGAATGAAATATAAACATTTATTTATTTATTGCAGATTAAGTGCCTCCGTGGCCGAACGGTTACGATCCCTTACGATTACGGTCCCGGGTTCGATTCCCGTGCCGGGAGAAATATTTGTATGGCCTACATTTATTTCTCTCGTGAGTTAGGGTGTAATTTGTGGTTGTCTGTGTACACACATGTACATGGCACCCGCGATACAAGGTTTCCCTAGTGCGGTGTCTAGGAGTGTGTGCACGTTATTGTGTAGGTGTTCATGAAGACATCCTTAACAATACTACGCACATCAAACATATTATACGAAACCCTGAAAGAGCATAGTAATGTTTGGACAGGACACACTGAAGTTGTAATCTATGTAGGTACGTATTGAATTTATATTAATGTATTAATTTAATAATATAAGAAAATTAATCATTGCAATATTGTTCCATGGAGTAAAAACAATTTTTATCAGAATGTCCACTTTTTAAATGGTCGCTTGTATTATTATAATTTATATTGACGTCGAGTTTTAATTTTGGTCCGGTCAGTGATGCTAAATTATTTTCGATCAATCGATTCAATCTTGTCTCAAAATGTCGTGTTGGTTCTTTTAACCTTGTATAAAACTGCGTTTGCGTATTTGCTTACAACTTGCAAATGTCTAATACATAAATTAACGTTAATGTTAAGATTTGATTTTTTTTAACAGACTTCAAAAAAAGGGGAGGTCCCGATTCATCTGAATTTTTGTGTGTGTACATTACGAGATTTCTTCGACATTTATAAACCATTTTCGACGATTGTTTTTTGTTACCTCCGGGTGTACTTCCGTAGTAGTTCCATTTAAATTTGCAGATTATAATATATATTCCATATATATTCCACCTCTAAGGGTAGCAAATTATTTTCATACATAGCATGAAAATAATTTTAACTGTCAAACTACAGTCGACCCTAAATAGCATCGTGGTTTGGTTCGAAGAGAAGTCTTTCGAATGCAATAGTGAGGAGAAGATGGAAAATGTTTTGACATTTGTTGCCTTATGACGAATTTGTGAGAGTGATAATTGAGGGGATGATAGAAGGTAAAGTAAGAGAGGAAGACGAAGAATGGCGTATAGTGAACAAATAAAACAGAAGATCAAAGTGAACAGCTATAAAGAGGTCAAGGACTAGCTATAAACCGTGAATGGAGGAGGCTACACTGACATAAATCTGAATGAATAGAGTAGATGAGTTTTCGCCATAATTCGTAAAAGTCACTGGTACTTTCTCACGAGAGTTTGAGGACCGGCCAATATTATTGAGAGGACAGTATGCGATACTTGCTACTTTTTAGTAGCAGTAGAGCTCCTTGTGGAAGAGTTCGTCCTGGGTAGTACTGCCACCTTACCTATTTCTGCCGCGAAGCAGTAATGTCAGCATTACTGTGTTCAGGTTTTGAAGATCTAGTCTGTTCTTTGTTTTGTTCCGGTGCTGGTAAAATTACAGGCTCATGGGACTTGTCAACATATGTCAGAGTGGCGGGCGCAATGGCAATGCCCCTCAAATCTAAGTGATTTAAAGCTCTGTGTGGCACTGCAATGTTATGGACAGGCATGTGGCTTGCCATCCAGCACACGACTTGTTCGTTCCGTCACTTGATATTATAAAAAAAAGCGAAGACTAATTTTGTAAAATATAATAATAATAATAAATTATCCTAGATTGTATCCTTAATTAATTTAATGTAATTTTGAATTATTTAATTAACCCTTTAATAATAATTTCCTCAAAAATTTTAAATATGTCATGTAGTGTAATGTTAAATTAGTACTATTATTTTACTTCATTTATTTTATGGGTTTATACCTAAATAAAGAAACATTTTATTTTACTATTTATTTGTTTATTATGAATTTACGTTCTATCGCCGTTTCTAACTGTCAAAATCACCATGTTAATTTTGTTGATTCGAACATAACCAAAAATATAAGTGATAAATTTTATTAATACGAAATTTGCATACTTGTGCACATAATGTTGGTAAACGTTGAATGTATCGCATGAAATGAATACCTTCGGAATAGCCGATGCTTTTTTGTTAGTTTATAGTGCTTATAATAGGCTCTGGTAGCCTGATGGTTTGACCTACCGCCTCTCAAGCTGAGACCATGGGTTCGAATCCAGCCTCGCACCTCTGAATTTTCTCAGAATTTATGTGCGATATTTAATTTAAAATTTACCATGAACTTTTCAGTAAATGAAAAGATCGTGACGAAACCGGCACGCCGAAGAAGGATCACAACTCTCGGAAAACGTATGAAGTCTCCAACCCGCATTGGACCAGTGTGGCGGACTATGGCCTAAACCTTCGCCTGAGAGGAGACCATTGCCCAGCAGTGGGTTGTATAAATGGATTGATGATGAAGTACTTCAGTTTTTTACTATAAACCTTGTAGAGGCACCAAACAATCACTTGCTTTATCTACACACATATCATAAACCCTCTGTGATGTGTTCAAAAACCAAAAATTGCGACCAGCATAAAGTTCTGTTAAAGTTTCTTATATTATGTGAAAATGTTATTGTTGCTTCTTATTAACATCAAATTCGATTTTATTACTACATTCAAATTTCGAACATCTCTGAAAAACAAAACAATTTGATTCGACCTCAATTCTAACATCAGTCGAGATGAAGTTTTATTCGAAATGAAATGTCAATGTCAATAGCAAACAATTTTGACAAAATTCACGCGTTACTTGATATCGAACGATATGATAGTAGGGGCCGATTCTAGTTTGTCTATGAATTAATAAAAACTACGGTTGTGTGACATGTGAGAAAAGTTTTTATTTACCGCCATTTCGCCAGTCGTAACTGCGATTCCTAAACACATGGAGAGCTTATAATATGATGTGTATAGATAAAGCAGTGTATGTAACTGTACATAATTAGGCATTAAACACGCGTGTGATGTTGTTATGAAACTCGCTTCGTATTTTAATTCTTTATTTATTATTTAAGCCTTTCATTATGTAGCAGTCACATAAACACTATAATATGCAACTTCGTAAAATAAAATAAAGTAATATTTTGGTAATTTGGCCTTAATGACATATATAAAACGTAAGTAATATGTTTACGATACCTTTTTCGGATTCAACGAAATAAACGTAGTAAATCATTGATGTGATAAGATCGTTGTTATGCTAAAATGGTTGATGTGCTAAGATCGAGGATATGCTTTATTATTGTCAAAAAAGTATTTAAAGAAGAACGTGTTATTAAGTCTCTAGTACAAATTATTCCAGTGTACTCTAGTATATTCAGTTACGGCAAAACAATAAAGATAAAACACTAATGATATCCAACGCGATCACCTGTTACGTATATTTTATAAGTTTAATTTTTTTAGATTATCCATTTCGATTAAACATGTAAATACGTAATTTTAACACTTACCGGTAGCAGCAGCAGCTTCTGATCCCTTCTCATTCACTTCCAAGAACGCCTTCTGAAGTGCACCAGTTACGGCTAGTTTTTCAGCTTGTTTTAATATACCTTTTAGCCCAGAATCCGATACATTAAAAATTTTTGTTACACCACACTGAAAATTTGTAATAAGATGCAAATAAACTTTTTAGTCGTAGCGTCATCTATGAGAAATCTATGAAAGATTTATCACACAGTTAGTACCTTTACAGCTACCAGTCTTGGCAAGACATGTCGCTATTCACTGTATTTTTAAATTTTTATTGCATTGATATTCAATTATTTCTTGTGATATTACTCCACTAGTTTGTTATAATTATTAATACAGAGATCGAACACAGAAAAAATTCCTTTGATCCGGCCGGATTCGAACCGACTGTGACCATGTCAGTCAACCGTGACTATGGGACCTGTAAAGGGCCCGAAACGTCGGTTTGTTTGAAAAAACAAATATACGCGATTTAAATCCGGAAAAATAGTTTAATTTCCTATTTATAACAGATAAATCAGATTTTTTCAAATGCGGTTACACCCCCTGGACAGCATTAATTGCTTCCGAGGACTCTTAAGCGCCTACAGGGAACACTTTGCGAAACTATGATCTATAACCTATAATCGTACATTATTTGTTCTTCCGGACGGTATGAGACCCTATTTATATATTTTATACATACAGTATTACGCTCAATAAGTGAGCTTAATAATTTATATTACAGTATCTATCTAGTATTTTATGTAACAGGATGCAAAATAAAAAAAAGAATTTCTTTCACTTACAGCTTTAAGAATTTCAATCAATTCCATTTGGGTTTCAATTTTGAACTTAGGCAAATATACTCTGACGTCTGTCCTGACTAGGCTATTCATTGCCGTGGTGAGTGTGTTGGCATTTAGTTTATCCAGAGTTCCTTGCAGACCGTCTTTTTCGAATGGAAGTAGAATAACCATTTTGTACTCCTCATCAGTATAACGAAGTTCGATCATCTGGAATGTATTATGGTTGTGCAATAAAATATGGAGTATTGAGTATTTACAAAAATACCAAACTAGTCTCTCATTTATAACGACTCCCAAAATTTACGAATTTGGGTCATCGCAGCCTTGTGTGTGTTCAGTTTGTAAACTGCAATGATTCTTTTTATTACTCTTGTACTAAAATGAAACGATGTATGTGGCAGTGGAAATGCAGGTAGATTAAAAGCGATATAGTTTTTTTTTCGATTTTCGCAAATTCACTCATTGTCGCTAGAGAAAAAACTCCTCACGATTTAAGTGCCATATTCCCACAGTACAATCAGAATTTGTTTTAAGTAAGTTTGAATGACTGAGATCACAACCTCATGTTTTTTTATGTTTACCAACCTGAGCTTGTAGATCTTGGCTCTCTGTATAGAAGAACTTGTTTTTCTGGTACATCGTCGGTACTTTAACGGTCTTGTCTGGTGTCACATAAAAGTCTTGATCTTGTGTGTTTTTTTCATCAAATTGGTATTTCCAGTCACCCTAGAATGTAATGTTTAATAATGTCTAGCTTTACTACTATAATCAATCCACATGTCAAGCGTGAAAATACGATAAAAGTACCTTAAAGTAAATAGCGTTGATGAGAATCAATCTAGTCAAAGTAGATATGGCATCAGCTGGTATTAGATTCTTAATGCGTCCGTTGGTCTTACTTTCCACCTGAAAATAAGTGTAATAAATAAATTTATATATATATATATAGTATAATAAATTTACAAATTTTTAGACTTTATATTGCATACTTTCTACCGTTATCATAACTGGACTTTGAAAGTAAACGATGTTACAATTGATACACACTATGTTTATGATAAATTAAACAAAATATATAATTCACACTTGTAAAAGATGTAGGTAAAAGATGGCATATCGAGTTCTTAGGTTTTCGCGATTGTTACACATATTAAATAAAAAAAAGATGTCATTCACACATAGTCGGAAGTAATGAATTTTCAATGGATATAACAAAAAATAAACAAATAAACCTCGAATTTGTAACTATGTTCATAAGACGTTTATCCGTCCATAACGTACCCATTGGTTCATAATATCAGCGGCCTTTTGACTGTCACTGACATCAATTTCTTCAGCTGGGGCGTTGAACACTTCGGTAGAGTCTTTAGAAAAGGCATCACTAAATTGGTATTCTTTGTTCAAGTAAACTTTATTTGCAATGTCCATTGTAACATTGTTCGACTTGATTTCTGACAAAGCTGTCTGGAATGCACTACGAACCTGTAAAAGACTTTTTTTATTTAAGAGCAATTGTATGGGTTTAGACAATGTACTTGGTATGTATTTTTAAGCTACGTGTAGTTTTTTTTAATTTGTTTATTTATATATTTATTATCAGGTTACAAAAGACCCATAAAATACATACCTTATAGACTAACATACATAATAATATGATACAAACAATTTATTTATTTACACGTATGGACCGCGACGTGTGACGCAACGTGGGTGTCCGATAGCCGTCCCCGGAAACGCCGAAACATGACACCCTTCGGCCAAAAGTCCTCCTTCATGAAGGTCGACAGATGTTAAGTTGGTACTCTCACCTCAATAAACAACGTAGTATGTGCCTACTCAGTGTAATCATAGTAAAATATAGTTCCTTACACTTAGTGCGTACTATCATCATCAACCCATTTAGACGTCCCACTACTGGGCACGTGCCTCTTCTCAGGCGAGGGTTTACACCATAGTCCGCCACGCTGGCCCAAAGCGGGTTGGGGATTTCATGTTTTTCGAGTGTTGCGAACCTTCTTCGGCGTGCAGGTTTCATCACGGATGATTTCCTTCACCGAAAACCCATTACCATTGCGTGTTAGCGTAAAATACATATTATCCTTACTGTTAAAGACCTTATCTATAACGTTGTCAAGACAAGTGTGGTAAGACACCCGCGAAAGGAAACAAAATGTAGAAACCAAATAATAAGTACGAATAACAATCTTTAGTATTAATTAATCGTAGTTGATCTTCTTGTTTTCATAAAATATGTACATTATGCAATTTATTTCCTTCATAAATATGTTTTAGTTTATATTATATGATTGTGTTTTTGATAATATGGTACTATGGTACTATAGTGCTTATTCTTACCTCATCCTTATTTGCAAGGTTCAGAAGTTTCAATAACTCATCCAGGGAGGATTCTTCAGCGTAAAGAGTAAGCGCGCCAAGCGGAAAATCGACAGATAAAGCTGAGCTAAAGACACTCTTTCCTGGGTTTTTCTTCACAAGGAGCTGTGTAACAATTGAAGTTAAGGTAAATAAATCTGCATTTGTTTTTTGGTGCTAGCCACAAATACAATGAATTTGCTCAAAACAGGCACTAAACAAGATGCATAATTACATTCAAAAACTTGGAAGCAAAATCAGCTAGACCCAAATTAAATTTCGCCTGAACTTCAGTGTTGTTGACATTATTTCCTGGATTGTTATTTCCCGGATTGTCATTTCCCGGATTGTTATTTCCCGGATTGTTGTTTCCAGGGTTATTGTTACCAGGATTGTTGTTATCAGGATTATTATTACCAGGATTGCTGTTATCAGGATTGTTGTTGTCCGGATTGCAGTCTGAAAAATGAGTATTTGTACAGTATGTATATATTATCTAATGCAAAAAGTATATCAATTATAAATATAGATTTCGTTTATTCTTGTCCAAATCGAAATTATAAATGCAGTTTAAGCCCCCTTCAATAGTATGGATCGTCTGTTTGATGATTCGCAAAGCGTAAACAACTTAACGATGTGTCATGCTGTGGCAAAATAAGTAAATCGAAATCCAAATAATCAAGAAGTGAACACAGAAATATGGGACGTGTTGCAGCAAGATGGGTAGACGAAATCGTGAAAGTCTTGGACCGTAGACGAGTGACACTAACGCAAGATCGTGGTGGACAGTATAAAGTATGGAAGGCTTCACTCAGCTGAAGATGAAATCAAGTTTGGGAAACTGCCTAACAATTACGTATAAGTAGTAATATAAAACATTAAACAGTATGAAATGTATAAAGGGTTTGGTTGTGTTACGATGACGTTTTATACCTTGTCATACTGACCTTTTTCGCATTCACAAGCCTCAATACAAATATTCTGAGAGTTTCTGTAGTAGCCTTCCTTGCATCGGCATTTCGGTTCACAAGGTACAACGATTCCGATTCTGTATTTTGGACAAGTGGTTTTATTTATATAGTCAGTACAATTTTGTCCTGGGCATCTCGGTGGACAGCTCTGATATTCTTCATTTGGACCGTGGCATTCGAATGGAGCTGTAAAGGAATTTTCCACAAAACCATTTTTTATAATATGGCATTAAATATAATGCGATCATGATACAAGCACCAGTCGCAGAACGTCGTCATAGTTGAATTTAGGATTTTCATACACAATGGCTTTAGTTAACGTGTTAACACAAAAGACGATAAGTATTTGCCAAATTCTGAATTTTTTTACCATTCTGTCGTAAATTAAATACAAGCTATTTATTGTAACCTACTATTTAGGGCAGAAATAAACAATTTGAAGTATCAAATAACTATTTGTTACATTACAAAAATACGAAGTGTACCTATGTAGTCAACTGCTAATGTTTTTTTTTATAATTCTAATTAACGGGACTAACAAGTAGTGTGCCTGGTGGTAAGCGACACGCCTATCCATAACGGTTGCAGTGCCACGTAGAGCCTTTATTTGCAAAGATCTTAGGGGCACTGCCACTGTGCCTGTCACCCTGAGACATTTCACCAGTACCCTTATCATTTTAAACCGGAACGCTTGGCGGCAGAAAAAGGTAAGGTGGCAGAAGTACTGCCTGGACGAAATCTTTCACCAGGAGCTCTACTATTACGATGTACTTACGGCAGTCTGCTATCGGGATACATTTTCCAGTCTCCCAGTCACGTTTGTGATTGAAGTTGCACGTGCACCTGGGTTTTCCACAGTTTTTAGGTGAAACACATGCTTGTGGGCTGTCTCTGGTCTTAGGACAGTACTCAGCGTCGCATTTTCGTGGTGGGCAAGTGTTATAAAATTCGTTGTCTCCACAAGCAGCTGTAAAAAGTAAATAACTTTCGTTCACAATGATACATACATGTCTACGATGACCACAGGGTCTTTTGGGTTCTCCAGTAAAAATGGGTGTTCCGCAGGGCTCAATACTTG